ATGACATTTTTTTGATGTCATAACAGATTTATAACATGTTGTTATGAACATAGATTCATCTAGATGAGCCTTGTGAACTCCTTGTAAATTCCACTTAAATGTATTCAATTACAAAATTGTAAAAAAAAAAAATGAGCCCTATGAATTTTGCTTGAATTTTGGTCAAGCTTTTGCTTCTTTTTAAACTCCAATCAACTTTAAGTTTATGGATAAAAACCAAGAGGGGTTCATTCGGTGAATGAAAGCCACCACTTGTCTCCTTGAGCAATCTTAATATATAAACTAGATGAACCCATATTGTGGTTGCAAAAAGTATGACTCAAATGAAGCATTTTTTGAGCTAAAGAATGTTTTTTAATTACAAATATAATATAATATAAATAAAAAGAAATAAAATATACAACAAAGCATTTAGCTATGGAGTAGGATAAGTAAATTTGTATTGTTGTTATGGATAATATATAAAAAAGTAATTAATTTTATTCAAAGATCTACTTGTGATATATATATATATATATATATATAATTATATTACCTATTTTGTATATTATGTATTGTATATTGTGTATCATAATAATGATCAAGGTCAAACATGCACTTGGAAAAATTCCATTATTCCTCACAAATCACTCCTTGTCTTGCTAGTATTTAATTGCTTATTTGTTTCCTATTACACAACATGCCTATTGCCCCTTCTCTCTTATAACTTATGCCATGCATTCAATTATGCATTCGCCTTCAATCATATTTAGTTGCAAAAAATAAAATAAAAATGAGCCCTATGAACTGCTTGTATCATTGATTACTATAATAATATATTGTCATTGATAACTCCATTTCCAGATGAACATGTTTCATTGTCATAGAACCAGATCAATGTGATTCAACAATGAGGTTATGTCAATATAGATTACAAAGTTTGTGATAGTAGAAATGATGTAGCAAAAAATATTGATTCTCCACCTTCAATATAAATTGACTAAATCCACAATATGTAGCATACTTGAGCTTGAAAAATAATCTTGTTAAAATAAATTAGAATAAAATTTAGTTTTTATATTGCAACATGCCTATTACTCCTTTTCTTTTACAACTTGTACATGCATTCAATTGCACATTCACCTTCAATCACATTCAATTGCGAGAAAAAAATGTGCCTTATAAACTCCATATATTGTTGATTGCTATAATAATATAATGTTGTTGATGATAATCAATGTTGTTAATATAATTTCATTTATTATAATATTGTTGATGACAACATAGACAAAGTTTCACCTTATTTAAAGCATCATTCAAAGTGTGATGAATTGAATTGGTGACAAATAATTCAACTAACTTTGTTTGCATTGAAGTTTGATTTGAACCAAAATAATTTTAAAATAAAATTTTGCATGACTCAAGACAATGTTTCTAGTCCTATCACATGAAAGAATGCACAATTAATAGTTGCAATGGACAATCTCTTCACTTATATTGAATATCCACATCATTTCAAATGCTACTTATGAACATATATTATTTTTTTATCTTGCACCTAAATGTAATATCAAAAATAAGTAATCACCTAACACACTCAATCAATTTTCAATACCATTTAACTAAAAATAATATTTCATACAATAGGAAATTGTAAAAAATTGCTTAAGAGCATTCAATGACGAAATTGCAAAAAAAAAAAAAAAAAAAAAAAAAAAAAAAAAATGAGTCCTATGAACTTTGTGTGAACTCCTTATAAACTTTACTTGAGGACATTCAGTTACAAAATTGTAGAAAAAAAATGAGCCTTGTGAACTCCACTTGAGTTTCAATCAAGCTTTTGCTTCTTTTCAAACTCATGACAACATTAAGTTTTTTGATGAAAACCAAGAGGGATGCATATAATGAATGACAGCCACTACTTGTCTCCTTGAACAATCTTAATATATACACTAAATAAACCTATGTTATTATCACAAAAAGTGTGACTCAAATGAAATATTTTTTTGAAATATATATATGTGAGCCAATAAATATTATTTAATTTTTCTAATAATAAATAAATAAAATTTATTATAGGTCTTTTAGCTATAAAGTTGGATAGCTAAACTTGTGCCATTTATGTAGATAATATGCAATAAAAGTAGTTAATTTTGTTCAAAGAATTACTTCTATAAAAAAATTAAAAATTAAAAATTATATTAAAAAATCATGAAAGTGTGTTAAGACATTCAAAGATGTATTAAAATCAAATTTAAAAAATATGAAGCAATTTATTATGATGTCTTCAATAAATCACTTCATTGTATGAATTCAATCTTTAAATATAAATTTATAAAATTATAAATGTATAAAATTATATTTAAATATTTTATAGAATTATAATATTATAAAAATATAAACTATAAAACTATAAATATTAGAAATATATATATATATATATATATATATTAAAATTCTTTTTTATTTATAGAGTCTACTTCAATAATAAGCAATTAAGGTTTCATGGTTTTCAAAGCATAATTCATAATAATTTGGAAACATGTGGAAGTTTGGAAATTGATATGCCTTCATGAAAGTAATATCTAGATGGTATAAACTTAGTCTACTTATGTAAACTTGATTGAGTTTGAGCCAAAAAACAACACTCACTTTACTACAATTCATTGGTACAATTTCAGATAATTTTTTATTCTATTGCACCTCACTATATTATTATCAAAGGTAATATAATTGCCCTCAAAATTAAATGAGTTGTATGATGTCCCTTGCATTGGTCAACTCTCAACAAAATTAATTGCCCTACTTTTGAATAATAGCTCGTTGCTTACAAGAGCAAGACAATGAATTCCTTTAGCTTACAATTAATTCTACAAAGATGACACAAAAGTTGAAGTGAAAAAGAAAAAAAGGAAAAAAAAGAAAAAAAAAGAAAAAATTAAGCTCTACTCTTCAATTGTTAAGTCTTTTCTTCTCCAACTATTAACAAATTGTAAGTTTTCAATTATAAAATTCATTGTAATCACTTCTACATACAATGCCTTGAAGTGTCTCTAACCTTGCACTTCTTGTGTAAGTCAATTAATACAAAAAGATACATAACCTGAGGCTACCTTGAGCACCTCAAATAAAAGATCTTAAATTAAGAATCAAATAATTTCCAAACTTTTTACAATGCCACAATATTATATAATATCATAGTGACTCTCGACAATCAACTTTCACTTGATTGCTCATATGTTGTTTCTAAATTTGAACAATTAACTACCAAAATAATAAAGCACACAACATTCAAACCATTTCACCTTAATACACTCACTTTGAAATTTCTAGAAATAGACTCATTCTACAATGCAAAGCACAATGAAATTTTAAAATGCAATGCAATGCAAATACATATAAATTTTGAAATATCTTTTGAAATATTTTGCAATCTTTTGAAATATCTAAAATTCACTTACTTTGCAATGCAAAACTTGGTAACATGATTTAAATAGAATGGAAAGCATGGTTTTTGAAATCTTTAAAGTTTAATCAAGTTTTTTCCTTAAATTAAATCATAAACTTATCTTTATTCTATACTCTCACTTACAAATTCTTCAACAGATTCTTTGATAGAAGTTCACACACAATATACAAATACCTAGGGTGTAAAAAATAAATTTTTTTGGTAGATGCGTATTGTGATTACACAGTGCAACTTCAAAAAAACACAAAAAAATTGCAATTATGCTTTCCTCTCCATCAAGGACCAAACTTCATTTCTAATTGCATTGCATGCATGCACCAAACAATACAATGCTAAATTCCTCCACATTCAATTAAATTCCAACATTTCACGTTGAATTAAACTTCAACAATGACGGATCTATACAGTGAATGAAAACCACTATTTGTCTTGGCTGTTTATCTTGAGTTTGCATCACACAGTGCTACTTGTATTGTAAGTCTTGATTTGAAATGATCGAGTGCTTGATAGATACATTTTTTGTTAAAATTTTTTTGTTTGGATAATATTTGTAGCGACTCAACAGCCATATGAACAAAAAACCATTGTTGTTTATTAATCACAGCATCTCTTAAAGCTTCAAGCCCTTTCTCACAATTTATGATCCCTTGTAAAATGCCTTGATCAATTGTAAAACATCATGTAGAATGCCTTAATCATTTGTAAAATGCCTTGTGAAATGTCTTGTGATTTTCAAGGACGGCAATTTTTTTTGATGAAAACAAAGATCCATCCATGCAACCATCAAGAACCACTATTTGAATCCCGCAAAATTCCTTGATCAACTACAAAATGTAGTGATGAACAATAAAACATGTTGTGAATCCCACAAAATATGAACCTATTTTAATAAAAACAAGACCAATCCATGTGGTGAATGACAACCACCACTTGTCTTCTTGAGCAATCTTATAATACTTTTTATTAATTAAATAATTCATGAGTGCCTATTTTTTTATTGCACCTAAAAATTCTATAATAATTAATTTAAATAAACAAAACCAAAGATATATATATATATATTTATTTATTTATATTTATTCATTTTTATTGACATGTAAATTACAAACAAAAGACAATATGTATCCCTTTATGCACAAAAATAACTCTTCTCCTAAGAAGCTTTTTGCCATAAAACAAAGCTCGTAACAATATCCTTTTCATTTTCAAATAGTCATCAGTATAGAAATTTCCACATTCTCCAACTAAACAAAACAGTTTTCTTTGGTTTCATTAACTTTTAGGAGTAAACGTTTAAAAATGAAATAATACCTTTATTTTTCTTTTATTTTTTGTTTGTGGTTAAGTCTCAATACACAAATCAGCTAATCTCATTTGAGCTCCCCCAACCAACAAAATGGCCCCAAAACAAGTAAATAAATTAACACATATAAACACACGCATACACAAAGAGATGCGGACAGGATATTGTAACTAGACAAGAAGCTTCCAGAAAGGGGTTTGGAACCGAAACCCTAAATTAGCGATGCTGGAGACGGAGATTGACGGAAACGGTGACGGTGAGGAGGAGGAGGAGGAGGAGAAGGATTTGGTGCAGCAGCAGCTCTGCAACGAGGCCAATGCTACGAAACAAGCGACGACACCGCGTCGTAGAGAGAGAGCGAGATAGATACATAGATGGATAGATAGATAGATAGATAGATAGATAGAGAGAGAGAGAGAGATAGTTGCATGGATGGATTGCTAGTTCGATGGATTCTATGTTTGGTAGATTGCCGCTGCGCCCTCCATAAAAAAGTTCCCGCCATCACACCATGCCGGCCTCTCTCTCCGCGCTCCTCTTTCTTTTCCGTTGATACTCCGCCGCTCGGTACTTAATCTTGTTGCGGTCTCTCTGTGTGCGACCGTTTGAGACGAGTGTTGTACAGTTTCAGCTCTCTCGTGTGAGCCTAGGCACTTTGGTCTTGGTTGCGAATCGGTTCGTTCTCACCTCGTCCAGAGCTATTTTGTACTGATTTGCATTTCTCCAGTGCAAGTATGCATTCGACAATCCATTTTTTTTTTCCTTCTAGTTGTAACGTCTTCGTCCAGGTTCTCCTCCACAGCGTCGGGTATCGTCTTAGTGGTCTTGATGTGCATTTGGTGTGATCTTCTTTTGTACGTTGGCTAAGGTTCCTGAGGTTTATGACGAGGTTGGAGTTCTGATGTTCAGCTTGGGCTTTGCTACTTAAGGAGCTTAGGTTGATCTATTTATTTGTTTGTTTTGAAAAATAATCGATGCGATGCTGTGATCTTTTGAAGCGACTTGATTTTGCGAGTATAAAACTGGTTTAGGTTTGATGAGCTCGAATATGTATTTTCAGGTCGTGGTGTGGTGACACGAAGGAAAGATGTTGGAGTTGAGGCTTGTGCAGGGGAGTTTGCTCAAGAAGGTGTTGGAAGCTATAAAAGATCTGGTGACCGATGCCAACTTCGATTGCTCAACGACAGGCTTCTCATTGCAAGCCATGGACTCCAGTCATGTTGCACTGGTTGCATTGCTTCTCAGATCTGAGGGCTTTGAGCATTATCGTTGCGACCGTAACATCTCGATGGGCATGAACCTTACCAGCATGGCCAAGATGCTTAAGTGCGCTGGTAACGACGACATCATTACTATTAAAGCCGACGATGGCGGTGATTCTGTCACTTTCATGTTTGAAAGCCCTAGTAAGTTTTGAGTGATACCATCTCTTATTCCATTTTGAAACTCTCTTCTATCTTCAAATGAAGACATTGTTGCTGTAGCGAACTTGTAGTCTGCTTTGAGTTTATTACTCCACCGCTTATCTTTCTCTCCCCAAATGCAGTCCCTCGAAAACGTGTGTCATTCTCATGTACGATATGAGCGCCTGTTGATCAACGCGGGGTGTGCACCACGTATTCTACAGGGAGCCGTAGCTTTAAATTACCTACAGTTTGCAGTTTCTGTGAGGACAACATGGTAGCAGTCGCCCTGCCTGATTGCATCAATTTCTTAACGTGGAATAGCCTACCTTTCGCTCATTGCTCCTCTGTCGATAATCATTGCTGTATTCTTTATGAGCTCCGTAAGTTTCTTGTTATATTCCAAATACTAGTCTGAAATTTACTGCGGTACTCATGTGATATTGATAAATTCAATCTGCTCTGGCAATCTATCAAATGGGATATTACAGATCAAGAGAGAATCTCTGACTTCGAGATGAAGCTGATGGACATTGATAGCGAGCACCTTGGAATACCTGAAACTGAGTATGAAGCTATCGTGAGAATGCCATCTTCAGAGTTTGCCCGTATATGCAAGGATCTCAGTACAATTGGTGATACAGGTAGCCAACTCTCATTTTATCTTTACAGTCAAGTCATTATTGAATTAATTGAACGAGGAGGATTTGTGGTTGTTCTAATGCTTAAAGTTCTAGTTAATGACTAAACTTCGCTCAGCCTAATATGTTCTTGTGTGATGATCATCTATCGCGGAGGTGCAGGGTTACCATCCTCATCTCTCCTTGTTGTAGGAGTACACATCAGCATCGCCTCAATCGATGCATGTTTTTAATACGTGAGTGTGGTACATTTTTGCCTCTTGCAGTTGTTATCTCTGTGACCAAGGAAGGAGTGAAATTTTCCACTGGGGGTGACATTGGGAGCGCAAACATCATCTGCAGACAAAATACTTCAGTTGATAAGGTTAGTGGTCCCTGGTGGATGTAACCGAGTTGTCCACTACTTCCGTTGTACACCCGTTCTAATGGACTCGTGAATTGTACTATGTGATAGGGCTCCGGGTGCGTTCAATCTTTGGTTACCGCATACTTATCTTTCCGTTTTGCAAAACAGGAGGAGGAGAAGACCGTGGTGGAGATGCAGGAACCTGTTACCTTGACATTTGCCTTGCGCTACTTGAATTCTTTCACCAAAGCTACACCACTATCTAGCACCGTCACGTTGAGCATGTCTAAAGAGCTTCCTGTAGCGGTGGAGTATAAGATCGCAGACATGGGTCACATCCGGTTCTACCTTGCGCCTAAGATAGAGGAAGACGAAGAGATGGCATCCTAAATCAAGTTTTTTTCGCATCCACTTCCTGAGGGTCTAGAGATTAGAAGTGGTAAACCTGTAAATGGCAGTAGACGCGATTCGAATTGTCTGTCCCATCAGCCAGGTGGGCCAAATTCATGGCGTGATCGTTCGATCTCATCATGTTCACTGATTATCAAGACGTTTTTTTTTTTTCTTTTCAACTCGAGACTCGAATCTTAAGAGGCTCTTTCGACTATTCTTTTGCCTATCCTGTCGAAATAGTGACCAGTACAAAGTATTTTAAGCCCATGTTCTGGGTCAATTCGTAACATACCATGGACACTACCTTGTTACTCTATTTTGAAGTGCCGAGATTTGACACGTGTTGAATAGTTTATGAAATCAGTTTACAATTTCCGTCAGACCTCAGGTATTTCTAATGAGAAGTTCTGTGTCTGAGAAGCTTGAAGCGGCTAATGAAGGAGAAATGGAAAGGAAAAAAAAAACGTCTTCTTGTGTTGTATAGATCTGCTATTGCAAAGCAAATCCTTTCAAGAGAAGGAAGCAAAGAAGTCTCACAACTCCAATCTGCGTAAAATTGTAGGCTGACATTTGCCAGTGATGTGAAGGTTTTGGTATAAGTTAAACATGTGGAACTGGTGACCTTTGTGACCAGTGAATACTCTTGTTTAGACGAGTACAAGTGGGGACTGGTTGGTAACCTTATACACCCATTCGAAAATTGATTCAATTTTTTTTTCTAATTGACTAGCCATTATCTCTTCTGTGGAGATAGTTTACAAATATTTGGAAATATAGTTCGCACAACATTTTCAAATGTTTATGTACATATAAAATCATGTCTGATAAATAGTTAAATTTGTATAGTAGATTTGTGATATTTTACTTGTACATAGTTAATTCTTCATTTAGAAATTAATAGGACTATAATTTTGAAATTTTACGCATTTATGCATAAAAATGTAGGCCATTGTTAAGAGTTAAATCTGTAATACTCCCTTTAGAAATAAGACCTGATTGTTCGTTTCAAACACCAAGTAGTAGTTACATTTAGTTATTCATCTTAAGTTACTCTTGCGAGAGTTCTATTGTACATTATAAATTTAATTTTTATTAATTATAATTTATTAGTCAAGTTTTTATTAAAAACTTGTAAAATAAAATAAAAACCTTCAAAATTACAATAATATATTGTAATAATATATAATAAACACGTGTAGATTATGTCAGAATTTCGGTATAAGTTTAACATATTTAGATAATTTTTGATGGAGTACAGGTCCTGTACTCCATCAAAAATTATCTAAATCGGAGTTTATATTAATTTACTCTCTACGTTAATTTTATTCCATATTACTTCTATGCAAAACAATCATGCTTTTCACACACCTATTACAACAATTGGGCTGTTCTCAATGAATGTTCTTTGAAAACTGATGACAAGTCAATTTTGCAAGCAATTGTTCAGCACAATGCTACCAATTTCTTAAAAATTGAAGAAGGAACTACTTGGCTTTAATTTATTTGTTTTTATACATCTCTCTCTCTCTCTTTCTATAATACCTCATTCCAACAACCATAACTTTTCTGAAGTAGTTTTACAAGCTCAAGTTACTTATCAAGCCCAGAGGAGTGAAGCTTTTGATATCTGTGTTAGATGGATAAATAATCTACAATGAGATAGCAGCTTGTTAAGAGGAATTGAGGTTATAAGAAGAGAAAGTACTCAGGGAATGAGAAGTCTTGAGAAAACCACGTGTATACAGAACTTCCCTAGTTACTGTTTATTGTTCTTAATTTCAACCTCAACCTTTCCCACAATGTTGGAAATAACTCATAAAGACAATTACAAGAGATGAAAAGGAGGTACAAGGACTATAAAAGCAGCTAACTCCATGTTCCAAGGGCATGACATTACTGAATTTGTTAAAACAGATGATGACAATTAAGTTCTATTCAAATCTAAAGAGACTTGTAATGACTCCAGCTGTCTGCTTGATCCCCCAGGTTCCGTTCTCTCTAATTGCGAGGACTCAGATGTTGGCCAAAATAATCCAAATCTAGAAGATGGCTTCTCAGGAGCTTTTGAGTTTTCTGGTCTATCCCATTGCAGGTGACTTGCTCGCTGCGGGTTGGTGAGCAGCATCTGTTGTACATCGTTTGGCAATAAGTTGAAGATTGTATGCAAATCACTTCTTAGTTTCTTTATAGTCTGTGTCTCTGTGTTAGCAAGTCCTGCACGCTGCAACATCTGGAACAAAAAAGCGAACAAAAATGCAAATTAGGTTTTTGTACAAGGCAATACAAAAAAAGACCATGATCGCGTTCATTAACATAGGCTAGAAAGTTTTTTAACTCAGTCAAACTGCCGACATCATTAATTTCTATGTCCGCTATGAAAAAAAAATTCAAAGTAAAGAGATTCAAAATGGTGAGAAAGCTTCGTGAAGTTACTATAATGCAATCTTGACTGAGTAAGTCTTAGAAGGTATAGGAATAAAAAATTCAAATTTCGTGAGCTGTGCATTTGCAACGTGCACACATTATACTTCAATGCCCATGCTAATGACTGGGCAAATAGTTTGACAGTTTGTACCTGTAACTCTATGATGAAGTGACGTTCAACAGCAGAAAAAGAGTCTACAATTTCCACTTCTGACATTGATGTCAAGAAGGACTCTACGTCAGCCTTGCAACGAGCCTGCCTCCAGATTCGATGCTGTTCTTGCTCAGCTACGGCTCGTCTACGCTGAAACCATGGCATAAAATTTGGTCCTTCCAAAAAACGTCTGTTATGTTTTGACAATGTTCCACAGTGAGAATCTCTCCCATCATGGCATACTGATTTCAGAATAAAAACAAAACAGCAGGTACATAAAAGGTGACATTCTTTGACCCTCGTAAGGTTGATTAAGGCTTAAATCATATAAAAATAACCGATGAAACTGAGTATATCTGTACAGCATGACAAGCTAGCAATCTCTATTTACAACTCCAATGTGCCAAGGGGCATAAACTGAGAGTCACATCAGGAGCTTCTCTGTATACATGGCACAATAGTTAGTGTTTAGTACTTGTAGAGGTCCAGCCAGTTCGCACGCAATCGCTTGGCAAGAAACTTCCCGGCTCCACGAGCAGCCAGACCTTCAAGAAAAGCATGCGCATTAAATGGGGGAAGAGGAGGTGGATCCCGGAAGGGTGATGAGCCTTCTTGTGGGGTAGTTGCACGCAAGTAAGGTCCAAATGGTGCCAGAAAATTGGTGGTCAATTCCAGAAAGTGGCGCTTCAGAACCTCATTGTTCACCATAGACATGGACTCCTCAGTTCGGGGGGAAACTCCAGCGTCAACTAAACGATTTAGAACAGAAGTATCCGGTTTAGTTGCTGCTACGTAGCTTGACCATAAACATTCTCGATGCTCTGACATCAAAGAAAGAGGCCCGTCTTTACGCACTCTTGCAACTTTTAGCAGATTTGCAGGAGAGAATCTGGTCAATGGAGACAGCTGTAGTTGTAGTGACAACCGACGGTTTCCAGCTTGGGAATTACTATTACTCCTTGCTAGCTTCAAAAGACTAAGAGCTGTATTTGGAGTTCCTACAGATATTACATGAGGAATATTTCTCAGAGCCTTGAGGAAGAAAAGATTAGTAACACCCAGAACCATTGGAGGAGCTTTCTCCCCTTCTTTCACAGAATTAAGTCCACTAAAGTCTGGGTCATGTATTGTGAAGTAAGGCCGGAAATCTACACTACATGGCAGTGGCGCAACTAGGCCAACTAAAGCAGCTACCGCCTCGCAGACTTGTGAGGGAGTGGGAGCTATCACCAACAGAGGTTCACCCACTAAAAGAAGCTCCCAAAGAACCCACAAATTCATAAGTACCCCTCGAAAAGAACCAAACAGATCAATGTCGTGGAAGACACCCTGAGGAATGGACCTGTTTAAGGGGGGCACTGGTGCCATTGCTGAGGTGAAGTCATCCATGGGAGTGCCACAACCAGGAGGTAGCGTATGTGCTGGTGGAAGATGGGCACGTATGACAATGTTCCCAACCAGTAATTCCATCAACTGACCATGAAGTGGAGGTGCCCAGCAGGAGACATAAGATGCCACTTGTTCTAAAGCTCGCGCACCAATATCAAAATACAAAGGTCCTGCAATCTGTACCAATGGTTTGAAGACACATGAATATGGACGCTCAGATAGGACGACGACAGACTTTTGTTCACCTCCACGTCTTAGTTTCTCGTCTTGCCTTTGCCTGTTTATAGAATGCAATTGTGAGTCTTAAAGACATCTCGATTCCTAGATCGTATGAATATGTGAAAACCAGTAATATACGAACAGTAAAGGGCATCGTCACACAACATATAGAGCACGTGTAGGATAATGTATAGTGTTCAGAAAAAGATTAGGCTGATGCTTGCAACAATACCTGTTGAAGACAAAGCCATACAGGTACCGCGGACCTCCACTGCCAGGGCCACCACGGGAAATCCCATTCACTGAATCCAGTGAGTATGCGGGCAAGGTTGTGTTCTTTTCACTATGGACTGGAGCACAGCTTGGAGATATATTTAAGGAAGGCGCAGAAGTACTATTGCTAGTTTCTCTTGCTGCAGGCTTTGGAGAAATTACATTAGCAAGAATGCCAGGAAGGGGCAAACTACCCCACCCACTCTCCATTCCAACCCCTTTACCAGCTGGAGATACTTCAAGGGCTGCAGGCCCCTCGCTCAATGAACTTTGCAGTACTTGGGGTTCGTCAAAGTTAAGCTGTCGTGCTGCAAAGTTGTACAGAAAGCGTTATGTTGAATGGAGACACAGAAGCACACCGTAGACAAACTATGACAATCTTAAAACCTATCCGCTTTTATGAATAGTTTTGTAAAAGTTGCAACCCCTTATTTAGGGAAATATGAAAGGAAAGACTTAAGTATTATTAAAGAGTTCAAGTCGATATGTAAGCAGGCAGAAAATGTATTAAATAATATAGTAACTCAAGAATACAAGCCAATGGCTTGTGCGCATTATACACGTTGAATAGACTTTGAGCTGAATTATCTGAACTGCCCGAAGGTTACGATCGTCAGAGGAGACTAGCACGTGAAAAATTTGTAGACAGTGAGAAGTTTAAAAAATACTTTTATTAGCTGTATGATACTCACCTGTATCATCAACGGCCCCTACGTCAGAAAATGCGTTCAAGGGCGGATGAGGGATAGTCCTTCGTGGTGGAGCAGGATTCAAAGCAGTAATTGAACCACGCCTGCGAATCCGAAAGAAGAATGCGCAGTCGTGCACACTTGCATGGGTGCTTCCTTGAGACATAGAATCTGGAAATGAACTGAAGGCAACGTCAAGTTCTTCCTCTGGAGAAAGTGCATTAGCTGGATAGCATTCTTCAACCAGCTGCCAACAAGCAAACAAGCTGATGAGACTTGACGGAATATTGATGGATTAGATCGTAACAAAAGCTTATTTAACAGAGTAGTGAGAACCCTTGGAACAAATTATATTAATTTTTTTGAACACAGTTGAATAGATTCAACAAGTTTGACCCGTTCCTTGAAACCATAAAAGACTTGCATACTCCAACAGTCAAAAATAGATTTAGTCAGTACAGTAAGTGTCATATTAGGGTAATTGGACACCTAGAAGTAGAGACTTTTTTTAAGCCTAAAGCCGTCACTGCAGTTCATTATCCAAAGTCCCTGACCACTTCACCATATAAATTGTCCATGACAGATTTGATTGTAGCCTAAAAATTGAACATCCGATTGAATTTCATGAACATAATAGTCTAGCAATTCCAATGGTTGAAGGATAAATCCATGATGGAAGCTTTGATAGTGCCTAGGCTGTTGGTGCATTTTACACATTCCATAATGTTTCAAATCAGCCCCTTCGCAACGTTTGAACTATCGATACTTGAGCTCTCTGAACAAACCAATGATCCATGATTAGGTTCTTTCCGAAACAGCTTACCTGTCCCTGCTGAAGATCAAAGCGAATGGCACAAATTGCCACAATCCATCGCTGCATAGCAGAAACTTCGGCCTTTCCCACTGGATCATGGCGGGGAACCGCCATGGTAACACTTCGATTCATCTTCCTTGCGTACTATCCCTCAACAAGTTGCTTTTCCTGCTCTTGCTGGATCTGGATTACCTGCTTGTGTGCGATTCCGTTATCTGCTGCCTTCATCCCGGATGAAAATTCGAGGATCTTCAGAGCAATTGGTTGATGGTTACCGGTGAACACTGCCTAAACATATTAATTTTCCAACGACCATGTTCACCTGGAATGAGTTCACTTAGAAATAAAAATGATGTATCGTCACCATATTGGCTAGTTTTCAAAGCCCAGGCACCTCGAGCTCTGCTTCCGGTTCTTAAGGGTTCTGGCCATCTCCAACTCCTTTCATGCACCCCAGATTTTATATTCTAGTTGAATAGGTCATTTGTCCTTGACCAACGAAGAATTCCAAAGCTTGTGATTATGCATCTGGCTGCCCTTCTAATTGAAGACTGTGTATGCGACCCTGCCATGGGCTCGACATTCCTCCTATCAATATCAAATTCGTCAAGTCCCAATTTCTCAATATTTGAACCAGACTGACCGGATGTCTACGTGGTGAACCTCGACGACTTTGAAATCATCAAAATCTGAAGTTAGACCACTCACTCCCAGGCAAGGTGGCTGACACTTGTGCATTTACCTTCAAAAGTTCCTTCCATTCACACAAGTCAAATGCATGAAATACGTAATCTGTTGTGAACCTAATTCAAACAAGACCAAACATGTTATCAAGCAGAAAACATGTGAAAATATATGAAAAAAACAGCCACGGAAATCATCGCACAGGTGACAAGGACCGCGAGATATTGAGGTTAGGCTCCTCAAAACGTAGAGCTTTAGGTAGAAAAATAACAGCTCGAGACAAAAGGGTTCAAAGATAAAATAAAATAAGCCAAAACTACTCAAACCCAAGTCTTTAGCTGATACTACATCAAGCCACATTTGTGTTCCAGCGAAGACAGAAAAAAAATCAGGAGAAGTACATGAAACGTACCTCTAATCATTCATCACTCGAAAACCTCGGTAAGCCTCCCAGTCCTGCGACATTATCCTACTGTAAATGCAGAGAACTCGGATCGAAGTTTGCCCCCAAAAAAAGAAAAAAGAAAAGCTAGGGTTGTTGATCAGCATTATCGTCCACAGACCGGGACAGGCGGCTTCAACACTAGCCTGACCTTTCCAAGGAATCCGAAAATCATCCCGCCCTTTTAAGCCCCAGCATTCTGTTTGTTCTTCAGCGATGAACCACTGTGACAGCCACTCAAAAAGCCACTCCGAGCCCTTTCGCGATAAAATTACAAGAATCGGAGACAAATCTACCTTCCACCTATTAAAAAACAACCCAATACACCCAGTCGCGGCGCCTGCAGATTCTAACCCGCCATGTCCATGCACCAACCTAAATGCTCTCTTGCAACGCCCCGCTCCGCCCCAGCAATCAAATTGTCCTAGGCAATCAAGCATCCGCCCCTAGGTCACACCTCGCTTCAAATCAAGTCGCTGCAAGCATCCATTCGAGCTGAATGCGAATATTTTAAAGCCCCCGGAGCCTCTTCCTCCAACATCCAACGCCGCACTAAAACGTCGGAGGAAACCTGCCCGTGACGCGGATCCACGCCCGCATTGCTGCGGCGGGGAGAAACCCAACAAACAATAACATCACTACAACCTGCGCTTTGATTGTCTGCCCTGCTCCAATTCACCAGCTCGAGAAACTGCCATCGATCCAATCCATCAGATTGCGGGGATTGTGAGCTCCGTTGCGAGACTCAAAGCATCGTCCCTTTCCAAGCAAGCTCAAAACCAAGCGGGGGCTGGAGGGGAGATCCTCACCCTCCAATTCGGCCCTCACGATCGACGGCCACACTTACATCAACCGGCTTTAGGGTCATTACTTGGTCTCCTCAAGCCGATCTTGTAGTAACCGCGTGGGTGGGCTGACTGGGCACGTTGTATCTCCGTGGAATCTGAGATTGGATGAATGTCAGTGTGGATGGATGAATGATGATGCGTCTAACATAAACTGATCCTTGATGATAGCACTTCTAATTCTCTTCTCCTATTTGTATTTTTTTTTTCAAAAATATTCTAAATTTTAGATATCATCTTTTAAAAATTACTTTATTGAAAATATGTCATATGATATTTCTGTGGTGTGTTTCAATCCATATGAATTTATTTCTAACTGAAGAAAATTTTGAATTATCCAACATTTATATGTGTTTATATATATATATACATATGTGTGTGTATATATAACCTAGAAATATGATCTATAGATAACAACAGTATATTCTTTTATTTTGTAATAATTTTAATACACCAATATATATGGATGTATATATGTATGTATGTGTATTGTAATATCAAACTTATTTATATGTAATATTTTTTAGATATTAATAACATCTTTTTTTAAATTACACTTATTTTCTTTTTTTAAACGTGCAATAAAGAAATAGTTTTTTACAGTATGATTTAATAAATTTGAAAATCCAATCTAACAAGACAAAAAAAATATTGTGCATAACATTTTTATCTCTATTATTAACACTGCATACATTTTTTTTAACATTGTGCATTTTACTCTATTTTTTATTTATTTTTATAATATATATAGAGAGAGAAATTAAAAGCATGTAACTATCAGTTATACATCTACAAAGTGTATACCAACAATTAAGTGATGTTAATTTATAAATATTTTATAGTTCAATAATCAAATGAATCAAAAAAAATAGTAATTATATTCTATAATATTTTTCAATAAATAACATGTTTGGCTTGATTTTTGTACAATTAAATGCTAAAAAAATCTAATCTAAATATAAGATTTTGGAAATTTGAAAACTCATCATAAACATGATTGTTTTACAATTAAAAATTTAATGTATTAAATTTTGTTTATGAATTATAACACATTGATATTCACAACTAATATAGCTTCTATATTCACCTTAGCTTTAGATTTTTTTATTCAATACAGCAATCACAATCAAATTGTTTTTTCTAGAAAAAAAACATAACTACATAGATTTTAAGATGTGCCTAACATCATCATCAATATATGTTTCTGAACATTACGATTGCACAAATCAAACAAGTAACAACTCTTGTCCTCTTAAGTTTTTTAAAATGTTAGTCTTCATTAAACAAAAACCAATATTCTACTTTACATTTCACTTCGATTCACATCATTATATGGTACAGCACAATTCTTTTATGGTTCTAAAGTAGAAGAGACGATAAATATTTCCAGCAGAAGAAAAAGATTAAGAAAACATAAATAAATAATAAGCAGAAAACAAACAAACAAACAAACAAACAAACAGACAAAATTGCATCACAAGAGGGATTGTTTGCTCCTCAGAATTCGTTTCAAAGTGGTCAACATGACAAGACTATTTTTCATTAATCTTTGCTACAAATATTTTCATATTATTTTTACGTAAAATGAAAGAAATCTAGCTTCAATTTTTCTTGTCCCACTAAACACTAACCATACTATACAATCCAATAAGTAAACAATCAACCTTATCACAATCACAGTTTTACACATTTTAAAAGATGGCAAAGTCCTCTTATCATCCCTGCAATAGAGAACGGCTTTGGGGCCAAGGGCGGAGATAGGCTCCTTTTCCCCATTTGGTTGTGGGAGTAACCACAGATTAGGGTTTGTGCTTCTAGCTCTCGGTCCCCGAAGCACAAACCCATGGGATCGATCACTGCTCAGCTCCCATGCACCACCATACGCATGCTCTCGGAATGTTTTGTTACCATTTTATTTCTTTATTTAGTTTTTTTTTTTTTTTTTTTTTTTTTTTTTGGAGTCGCTACTTTCGTCCTGGTGTGTCTCGGAGTATCACGTACTTGATTTTCATTAAGGCTGCTCCAGTGATAGAGTTCCATGCCATTGTCTGTCGCTGCATTATTCGATCGGTGTGATGACATTGGAACCATTTGGTGAACTTGAGGGTGAAAGTTCGTGAGGGAGAATTTTCCAGCCGCGGATTTGCCCGGCAAATTGCTATTCTAGGATAGAGGAAGCAGCTGTGGGAGAAGCGAATTCATTAGCATTCTGGTGTCTGTGTAGTGAGTGATTCGCCATTGGTGATGTTTTCGTAGACCAGTCGAAAGGATTTGATGCCAATCACATCTATATGTAGGTTACGGTTTTTTTTTTTTTTTTTTTTTTTTTTTTTGTCCCTCCGTGACAGGATCGGAACAAAGCTAGTACTTCCTGGGGTTGAGGATTGCTTCGAGTGGGGATTCTGTATACTAGAGAGACCGTCTGTTCATCTGGGATCCATGGTCTAAAGCGCAGATATTCTGCAGGCACTTCATCGCATGTGTTGATGATGCTGTGAGGGATGACTTAAGTGTACCAGCAATCGTCTTAAAGATCACTGGTTTTGATTTTAGGCGAAATACAGGACGGAACAGATCCAAGTACTGTCGTTTACATAGCAGATCTGAGCGCTGTAATAGAGATTCGAACTTGAGACAGAGGGTCGGCAATGGAGGATTGTGAGGGAGGCTGGGAGGAGCTGCGCAAGGAGGCACGGAAAATCGAGGGTGATCTCGATGTCAAGTTGTCTTCTTACGCGAAGCTTGGAGGAATGCTTTCCCATGGAGGTGGGTTAGCTGTGATTTTTGCATTGGTGTACTGCTGTATCGCATACTGTCATGGTTGTGATGATTTAAGTTTCTTGTGGTTATGTTTTCATTATCCCATGACTATCAGCATCTTTTGATTCATGGTCGGCTTTGTCAATATTAATTTCCATTTCATTTCATGTTATATTGTTCACTCTTTGCAATATTAAGTCGAGAAATGCACAAAAATGCCACATCTGGATCCTGCTATATGTTATGCAGGTAGTCTAGTGTTTGTGCTTTCAACATTTTTTTTTTTTTTTTAAATGCTCCTCTTTGCATTATAATATTAGGATTGATCTACTCAAAATTGGAATCCGTAAGTTTTATTTTTCTGTCTTGGTAGAATCTGAACAATCTTTATACATCATTGTTGAAATTTAAATCATCAATAGCGTTCCGCATAACCTGGACATATTTATGGCAGTAACTTAACAGTGCAAAAGAAAATCTTTCATTTTTTGATGTTTGCATATCTGTTCTAGCCTCTGTTATCTTTTGGAAGTTTTAGAGACCTAAAATGGTATAGTATTTCTACTTTGTTAGAAGTTTTGGTTACAGCAGAGGAAGATTCTACCCTCTAAATGCAGAAATGAATCAAGTCATTGTGATTTACTTACAAGGAGTATCCCAAAGAAGAGTCTGGTTTGCTCAGTAGTAGGATCTTTCACTTGACAGTCATGTTGTCTCAAAATGTCTTCCTTAGGTCATAAACATCCCCTAAGTTTGTGCACAACTTTCACTATATTCTCTCTGCAGTAGACAGTCGTTTTATAAGTTGAGATTATCGAGAAAAGGTCCTCTCTCTTGCACTCATACCAGGTTTTGTCTTATGTCGTTTGATGGTTCCTAAAATACGTTTGTACTGTCATTTCTCAAGGCTTGTGGATCGTAATGATGGAAGGTTGAACATGCAGGTGATGCTCGAGTGGAGGGATCATGGAAGTCCATGGACACGGAGATTGAATTACTACTGGAGAAGTTGCTGGATATTAATGATTCAATGAGCCGATGTGTGGCGGCTGCTACTTCCACCACCTCCGTTACGCAGAAACTTGCTCGACATCGGGATATTCTGCATGAGTTCACTCAGGTTATTGTCTGGCCTTTCAATTATGGTTGAAATTGATTTGTGAAACTTCTGGATTCATTAATATCCAATTAAGTGTTGTGAGGGTTAAGAAATGATTCTCTTTTTGTAGTTTAGCATTTTTCACACTTGAAAAATATATTCAACTGAACTCACGATTCCTAAGCTGATTTTGCTGTGATTTATAATGTACAAGCCCCAGGAAAGGAATACTTAGGCGAATTCACGTATCTAGTTACTGAACGATGACCAATATTTCATCTTTGGGATGCTTGGGATCATAATGAGTGCCGAGACTGACAGTTCAATACTTTTGAAAAGTGGGTGTGATTAACTTTTCTCTCAAATGAATACGGCAGGAGTTTCGACGAACACGAAATAACATAAATTCCATGCGGGAGCATGCAGAGCTCCTGACCTCTGTTCGTTCTGACATCAGTGATCATAAGGTTCTTACCTTTGTGTTGTCTACCTCTGAATCTGAAGCTCTTGCGAGACCCATTAATAGTTTTTATTACCTGGATTTCAGTTGAGTTATTCATTCCATGTTATCTACTGGATTTTGTTGCAATCCACAGGCTTCAGGGAGTTCTTCACCAGCAGCAAGCTTGCTGAGGGAACGTGGAGCAATCCATGGCAACATTGCTCACGTGAGAAATATGTTCCAACCCTTTAGTCCTAGTTTCGGTGACTTGCCTTCTTTTGAGGATAGATCCAGTACCTGAGCTTCTATCTCTGTTCCGAGGTGTTATGTTAAATTCTGCCATGTGTTTTAAGGTCCATGCACTATGGCATGTGCGTGTGCGCGCTAACATTTCACATCAGTTTTATCGTCCTTCTGTGAATGACTTCATTTGCCTGACTGTTGAAGAAAACTAAAAAGGTGGGATACTCAAAACTCAATATGTATGGTCTAATAGTGGGATAGATGTTCTGTCAGATGGACGAAGTTATTACCATAGCTCATACAACAAAAGTGGCACTGGGGGCACAACGAACAACATTTATGGAAATTCAGGGGAAAGTAAAGCAACTGGGGGATCGGTTCCCTGCTATTCGAGGCGTATTAGGTATGTGATCTCATGTTATATCCTCCAAACGAGAGATGTCCATGTTATTATTAAAACTCTAGTATGGCCTTGATCATTACAGTCTGGGAATTTGACAAAGTGAACCACATTTTGGATTTGTACTGCAGGTGCAATCAAGCGGAAAAAATCTAAGGATACTTTAATTTTAGCAGGGGTTATTACTGCTTGCATTCTTTTTCTTATCATATACTGGTTGTCCAAATAGATGTCTCAAATTAGATGATTTCCCAGATCAAAACTGTAACACTTTTGAAATGATCGTTTTATTACGTTCATTAGTGTAATTTAGATTACAAATGGAACTGCCAAATCCTACTGAAAAGTGCCTACAGCAGGCTGTGTCTATTCGGTGTAATCTATTGATTTTTTCTCGGTTCAGCAAAGAGGCATGTTCAATATGAAGGGATTTAATTCTTCATTTACTGTACTGAAAGAAACATTTAGTTGAAAGAATGAGGATAGCGAAATGTACAGTATGAATTTGGGTGTTTATAATCAAATATGAAGAAGTGATTATCATTTATGAATTGATTGGGATTAGAGACAAGTTGGACTATGGGTATTAGATAGTGTAAGTTTTCATAGGTGTAATGAAAGAGATGTGCATTATTAAAAAAATGTACTGAAGTTTAGTGGTAAAACGAGATTGAGAATTGCTGAAATGTGAGATTTGCACACGGCTACAGATAAATGTGAAAGTTCGCACGAACAGAGAGATTGTAGCATATGATTTCAGAAACGGCTTACAGAAAAGAGTTTACTGAATAGGGACATTACACACTATTAACAGCCTAACTTCTACAGAGCTGGGCACAACATGGCTGTGACAGCTATCTACTGTTCAAACGTCCACTATCAGTACGAACAATTACTCTTCAATAGCCTCCTCTGAGGCGAAGCACCAGATGCAAGGTAGACTCCTTCTGAATGTTATAATCAGCAAGAGTACGACCATCTTCCAGCTGTTTGCCCGCAAAGATCAACCGTTGCTGGTCGGGAGGAATACCTTCCTTATCCTGGATCTTAGTCTTAACATTATCAATAGTATCAGAGCTCTCAACCTCAAGAGTGATTGTTTTTCCAGTCAGAGTCTTTACAAAAATCTGCATCCCTCCCCTTAGACGAAGAACAAGGTGCAAGGTAGACTCCTTTTGAATATTGTAATCGGCCAGAGTACGACCGTCCTCTAACTGCTTCCCAGCGAAAATCAGACGCTGCTGGTCAGGAGGGATACCTTCTTTATCCTGGATTTTGGTCTTCACGTTGTCTATGGTATCAGAGCTCTCAACCTCTAGAGTAATTGTCTTGCCAGTCAAAGTCTTCACAAAAATCTGCATACCTCCTCTTAAACGGAGGACAAGATGTAATGTGGACTCCTTCTGAATGTTGTAGTCTGCAAGAGTACGACCATCCTCTAACTGCTTTCCGGCAAAGATTAGCCGTTGCTGATCAGGTGGAATACCTTCCTTGTCTTGAATCTTGGTCTTGACGTTATCTATGGTATCAGAACTCTCCACCTCCAATGTAATAGTCTTTCCCGTAAGCGTCTTCACGAATATTTGCATCCCTCCTCTCAAGCGCAGGACCAAGTGCAGGGTGGACTCCTTCTGAATGTTGTAATCAGCCAAAGTACGACCATCTTCCAGTTGCTTGCCGGCAAAGATAAGTCTCTGCTGATCCGGGGGAATTCCTTCTTTGTCCTGAATCTTAGTCTTCACGTTGTCGATGGTGTCAGAACTTTCCACTTCTAATGTGATAGTCTTCCCCGTCAACGTCTTAACAAATATTTGCATACCGCCCCTCAGGCGCAACACCAGGTGAAGCGTGGACTCCTTCTGAATGTTGTAATCGGCCAGAGTACGCCCATCCTCCAACTGCTTTCCGGCAAAAATCAATCGTTGCTGGTCAGGTGGAATACCTTCTTTGTCTTGAATCTTCGTCTTAACGTTATCAATAGTATCTGAGCTCTCAACTTCCAACGTAATCGTCTTCCCCGTCAGCGTTTTGACGAATATTTGCATGCCACCTCTCAAACGCAACACAAGGTGCAACGTCGACTCCTTCTGAATGTTATAGTCTGCCAACGTACGCCCGTCCTCCAACTGCTTCCCGGCAAAGATAAGCCTCTGCTGGTCGGGAGGGATCCCCTCCTTGTCCTGAATCTTCGTCTTCACGTTATCAATCGTATCCGAGCTCTCGACTTCCAACGTGATCGTCTTCCCCGTCAAGGTCTTCACAAAGATTTGCATACCACCTCTCAAACGCAAGACAAGGTGCAAGGTGGACTCCTTCTGGATGTTATAATCGGCCAACGTCCGCCCATCCTCCAACTGCTTCCCGGCGAAGATGAGCCTCTGCTGGTCGGGAGGGATCCCCTCCTTGTCCTGTATCTTCGTCTTCACATTGTCGATGGTATCCGAGCTCTCGACCTCCAAGGTTATGGTCTTCCCCGTCAGGGTCTTCACAAAGATCTGCATCTTGGTATCACCTCTACTCACTTCACAACAATTTCAAGCTAATAGACAGCTGCACTAAAGTATCTCGCCAACTTCTCCGTACGCTGGTTTCCCAACTACGCTCACACCCTTGATATCCGAGACACAGCCAAGCGAGTGGATTCAGGAACAGAATGAGGGACTTGCGCTGAAGAGCAGCTCTCTTATGCCAAGAACGCTAACCATCCAGAACGTTCTTCACCTTCTCGCTTTCAACGACCTGCCCGTCTGCCCGGAGTTCCAGCCGCGTGAACACAACAACTTTCGACTTTTCGGCCACCAAGCTTTTACGGCAATAACTCTGTGCGGTGGACGAGGCTGCCCGCAATAGCAATTTCCCAGAATGGGGAGAAAAGTACGCGGCACGTAGCCAGCACGCGGTGATGGGACCCGTGGTGAAGGGCATGCAATGCGCCAGCTTTAGGTGCTATGAGTCATTTCCCCCATACTCCACACAGCAGGCTGATTCACCGTGTGAAAAGAGCTGGGCTTTATCTTTTTTGTATTGATGATAATATGTAAAATCATATTATTATGATAATTATGTCATTTACAAAATATTATTATTTTATAAATATACTATTAATTATTATCATATTTTATTTGTATTATATTATATTATTATATTTTATATAACATGATTTTATATGATTTTACATATTATATTTCATTTATATGTAATTAAAGATAAGGCATATATATATATATATATATATATTAAGATTGCTCAAGGAGAAAAGTGGTGGCTCTCATTCATTGCATGGATGGATCTTTATTTTCATCAAAAAAATTCATATTTTGTGGAATTTACAACTTATTTCATAATTCATCCTTGTATTTTATAGTTGATTGAGGAGTTCTATAAGGCGTTTCCTTACCTTCCTTTGGATTGATAGCAAAACTATACTACTCACATTCCTTAGCTTTATTATATACTAATCAAGTCTTTGTTTTAGTGATTGACTTGTGGTGAATGAAATAAAGGAAAGTGATGTTGATGGCAAAGTCCTATTGTTGCATTGATGACAAAGTTTGTAAAGGAATGTTGGATATTTTGTTATTGAATTAGTATAGACAATCAGTGTTGTAGGTGTGCATCATATTTGTTTTCTTTTCTGATTATTAGATTTTAGAGTAAATAGAAAGCTTCTTATTGACAAATAACTATAGGCATTGAAGAAAAACCATTGTACATTATCTTGTGAATGCCATCTTGCTCATTTTCACTTCTATGATAAAAATCTAGACCACATCATTTACAGTAAGCTACATCCACATTTGATTCTTTACTCTGTTTGATTTTTGTAATTTATTTTGATTTTGATTTTTGTGATTAAATATATTCGCTAGAAATCAAATAATTTACAAGCTACTAACTCCTTTAGATGTCAAGGATATGAACTTCAAAAAACTAAAAGGTCAATAAACTCTTGTCTGACTTAAAAGAATTAAAAAAATCACTTAAAGATGATATAGTATTAAATTAAAATGGCTATTATCAAAGATAAGAAGACTAGAAAGTCTTGAAACAAGACTAGGGACTAGAAAGGCATTGACAAGAATGAAGAAGACTTCACTTTTGCCTCCATATATAGTCTCTAACTAAAAGACCTATATAATATATATATTCTCTCTCTCTCTCTCTCTCTCTCTCTCTCTATATATATATATATATATATATATATATATATATAACTAGACAAGTTATCTTTATGTATACCATATAATAAGCTTATTCCACATGTTACTAACACATATAATACATGGCTAATTTGTTGATTAATTTTTTGCCTATCAATTAACTATAAACTTATGTAAAGTCAAAGTAATGTCTATGATGCTTCTAAGAAGCTCTTTTAAAAGATATTATGAAATTAATTTATTTTTACCTACTTATATTTAATCATATAAGTAATTATTGTAATAAATATGTATGTCTATCATTTTATCTTTCTTTTAAGGAATAAGTTCTATGAGGAGCAATCATCAACTTTCATAGACCTTGTTATTCTTCATCTTGATTTTGATCAATGTTGTTGATAAAAACCCTCAACCTTCTTTCTTGCATTTGTAAAATTCTTTGCTGACTGCCATGTGCATCTATTAATATTATATCTATATCAATGAATAATATATTCTAATCTATTTTGGTATTGCCTTGAATCTTAGACTCTTTATACCTCAAATTCTTGATTATTATCTATTTCTAAATAAAGAAGTGGAATTTGTCTTTTTTAAAGATATTTGCTATTTTAAATGGCTCAAAAAGAGACATATGGAATATGAGAAGGATCTTTATAGACTTAGGTAGATATAATCAATAAGCAACAAGATTGACTTGTTCATAAATAAAAAATGGTTTAAGTCTACAATAGTCTAATTTATCACAAAAATAAGTAGTCTTGATATTGTGACAAAGTAACTATATTTTATTTTTCACATTGAATTGTGGTTGTTCCTTGCAATACGCATCCAAATTCATCTTTTGTCATTCTTGAACTTCTTTTGACTACACCTTCATTATTGCATGTAGCTCTAACAAACGATTTACTAAATCTTTTGATACAAGATTATCAACTATTAAAAAGTCAAAAGTATCAAGTTGTTTATGATAACCATAATTGACAAAGAAATGTGTTTGTTGAATAGAAAAATATATCAAATTATTGTATGCAAACTTTTATAATGGTAAAAGAATTTTCCAATTATCTTCATGATAATTGATGGTATATTTCAAATATTATTCCAAAATTTCATTCAATTATTCTATTTGCCTATCAATTTGAAGATGAAAGACTAAAGACAGTTTTATATCCACCTTCAATATTTTAAAAAAGATTCTTCAAAATCTTAACACAAATTATGTCTCTCTATTTGAAATAATATCCTTTGGAAATCTATGATAGCAATAGATGTTATCAAAGGAAAGATTAACTAATCTTTCACCCATAATACATTTTGTACATAGTATAAAATGTGAAATTTTAGTAAAGCAATCTATGATCATAAATATAGAGTCATATGAATTTGAACTTGAACCTGAAAGATTTGTAATAAGTTTATAAAAATAAAAGACCATAAATATTTTGAAATAAGTAATGGCTGAAGAAGTCCATAAGATCAATGACGAAGAGTTTTTGATTTTGAACAAATGTCTCATAATTGCACAAATTCTTCCACATTTGTAACCACAAAAAATCTCTTGATATTAATTCTAAAGTCTAATTGTATCTAAAATATCCTACCATTAAAAAGTCGTGACATGCTTAAAGAATACATAAATGTGCTTCTCTTTTTGGAATATATAGGTAACATTTGAAATAAAATAGCTTGTTATTGAACTCAAATTTATAAGTATCATGAGGCTTAGAAGAAATATTTTTGATATTATAAAAAAACAAATTTTTAATGGATATATATCTACTATAATTATTATTTAGGTAATATAAATAAGTAGAAGTATATAAAAATAGATTAATTTCATAATACCTTTTAGACAAGCTTTCTAAAAGCTTCTTAGATATTATTTTGACTTTATATGTGTTTATAGTTGATTGATATGTTAGAATCTTAATCAACAAAATAATCACGAGATATATGTGTTGGTAGCTTGTAGAACAAGCTAATTATATGGCATCTATATAAAACATTTATCTTGCAAGTTAAGATATATATCATGTAAAGTCAACATGTTTTTGGAGGTTCTATAGAATGTTGCCATATAGATGCTAGGTATATAGTATATATAGAGGTAAGAGTGAAACCTTCTTCACTCTTGTCAATTTTTTTCTTGCTTTTAGTTTAATTTTAAAAGTCTCTTATTTTTTAGCAATAGCTATTCTAATTTCTTTTTAAATATATAGTGATTTAAAAAACTATTTTAATATTGACTTATTTTAGAAAGAATGGTGTATTATAGATGAATTATAATGAAGAATGACACATGGTTTATATAGCAAATAAAGTATTTTTTTACAACCACCAAATGAGCCTAGGTTAAAAAGGTTCCATTAGGTAATTGTGGAACTATGACCAATCTAATTTGGAATAATATGGAAATATTTTTTTGAGTGTGATATCCAATTATATATTAGTACTTTGTAACACCTCTTTTGGCCTTGATAACTTCTTCCAACCTCCTAAGTATAATTTTTATTCACTTTTGGTAAAAAATTACTTCAATATTATTTCATTTTGTAGCTATTCTTTCCTATAATTTCCAATCTTCTTTTGGTTTTATCTTCCAATTGTTGAATTGGCATTTGAGGTGCTTGCAAAGATATTCAGTAGAATTAAGATCAAGAGACTAAGCATGCAAATGCATTACTTTAATTCCATCATTACCAAATCACTTCCATGCTATTTTTGAATTATGCTTAGGATCATTATCTTGCTTAGAAATCACCTTGTCCTCAAAAATGTTAGATTCTTTAATGTTAGAGAGTACATTTTTTTCAAGAATTTCTACAAATTGCTTGGCATCCATCTTGCCCTCAATCTTTGTTATCCTTCCAATTCTATTCCATTCCATACAACTCCATACTATTATATTTCAACCGCCATGTTTAATTATTTCTTCAATCTTTTTATCAAGCAAGGATTGATTTTTTTGTTTTTACACCTACTTTCTACTATCTGATCCAAAATTTGTTGATTTCTATCTCATCTGATCAAATAGCCTTCTTCCAATCCTCCACAATCCATTTCTTATACTTCAAAGCAAAATCCAAGCCTTACTTTTAATGGCAAGTAGATAGTAGTGGTTTTTTTTTCTTCATGACAGCTTTCATATTCTATTTTTTGAAAATATTTCAAATAATTTGGGTTGACATAGAATTATTGATAATATTGTTAAGATTTTTAGGAATCTCAAAAATATTTTTAGCCTTCCCAATGTTGATTTGGCAAATAATTGTCCTTTCATCTATTATAGTGACCTTCTTTGGTTTGCCTAATTTAAGATTTTTCCTATTAAAAGTGATATTTTTTCCTAGCCTAGAGATAGTATCTTTACTCCAATCAAATTTAGAAGCAATTTGGCCATAAGATTTTTGAAGATGAAGAAAAGTAGAGGTGATGTTATCTTCGAAAGAATAGAAAATGGATCACATAGTTATTCAAGGAATTGTCAAAGATACAAGAATCT